AGGGTGGTGGGGTTCCTACGAATGCGGAAAATTAGGCCTCAAGCTGAGTCTCATGCGGACCGTGAATGTTTCTTTCCAAAACTTAGTACATGGATATCCACCTTCCAATTTCTGGGTGTATATGCAGGCCAATTTCTGGGTTTCTGCAATTTTTTATTTAAATTTTTTATTTAGCTTTTCTGCGGCCTATGCTGTGTTTGGAGAATAATGTTACTATTTGGACCGGTGTATTCTCTGTGTCTCAAGCTGTCAGAAGATGCAGAGAACAAAAATTCTCAATAGTTCTGCATCTTTGCAACTAAGAAACCTTCATTAAATTTCATAGCTCTGCACAACTTGCACCCTTCCTTTGATGCTCATCGCAGTTTGTCCAGTTTGTACAGTTTGCGCCAGGGTGACTTGTCCCATTGTCACCCGGGCATAAGCAGGTCCGTTTTGAGGAGGAGCATAAAATGGCATCCGAAAAACAAGGGCAGATGCCCAATGAGGCTGTTATACACACCTGCTATTAAAGGCATAATTGTTGACCTAATCAGGTTCTTTTTCAGAAGGAGCTTAAAATGGCATCCGAAAAACAAGGGCAGATGCCCAATGAGGCTGTTATATATACACCGGCTATTGAAGGACCATACATAGCGCTTCTTGTCGATTTGGAATAATATTTTAGCAGCCACTATAGGATATATCCCAAAAGTTCAGCGTTTGCTTGTGAATTTGGTATTTCTCTTGCATTATTATTGTCTTGTACTTCCACAAAGCTCCCAGTCCACATCATGACAATGGTCTGAGTCCTTTTTTCATGACGATTATCTGTTCTTTTGGTCTTTTGGTGAAGACTATAATATTAGAAGCATAATTTGCTGTTTTCTCGAGCATCCTGTGAGCATCCGCTAGAGCATGATCTGGTCATTTCCCGGGCATAATCTGGTCATTTCCCGGGCATAATCTGCTTAACCGTCCAGATAATGATTCGGCGTTGGATTGCGGTAAGGCGAGCCATAGTGGTGGGTGCAGCGCTCATCCACACGAGCATGCCGTAGATCTACTTCCGGACCGGTAGGAGAAGACCTTGTAGATCACATCACGGCACCTGGAGTCCAGCACTCGTGAGGCCTTCCGGAGGAAGCCGAGCCTCGAATAGTCCATTGCCTGATATAGTGATATGAGCTGTGAAGGACAGGTATTGGTTAAACAGCACACCGAGGATCTTTCGGATGCAGGCGAACGTGGTGACAGGAGTTATGATGATAACACCAATGAAGGGGAACGTTTCTGTGGATGCTGAGTTGTACTGACTGAATACACGGAACTAACTTCAGAGCTCTGAAGCACACAGGGCAGGAGCTGAAGAAAAAATAGCGTAGTGCACCACAGTGGAACGTATACATGGGACTTATTAGGGCAGAACAACTGGCTGTTGCCCAACGCATTGGATGCATCATGCAACTGGCAGACCTGCATCATGCACTGTCTGGAAATGAGTGTTTTAAAATTGAGATACACGGAATAGTCGAGGCTGGTGATCATGGGCTGAGTGGAAGGTGATCATGGGCTGAGTGGAAAGAAGTCAAATCGGGCATCCAGTTTCTCAAGTCCGTGGACTCGTCCCGCTTCGCCAATGGGCACCGTACTGGTGGTGCGTCTCCGGAACATTATTTCGATGCTGTGTTCAAGAGCTTTCTGTCTCCTGCCAAGCATATTACGAACTATGATACCAAAGTGCGCCGCTCAGTCGTCGGGAGCCTCAATGCATCCCAGCAGAGTCCGGGCTCGCCAACAGTAAACAATGAGAGCGTGCACACATGGCTGAAGCAAGAACGCACTGGAATTACCATTATTTTGTCCTCCACATTCTTCTATTTTTGACATGTGTGTAATGTTATTTGATGTGTGGATTGAGTACCAGCTTCAACAGTCCTATTATTATGCCTTGCATCAGGAGTTACTCTGGGGCTTATTTTTCGGCTATGGCTGTTTCTAGTTTTGTGGTTTTGTTGCTTGGTTCCACCTCCAACCAGGCTTATGTGTGTGATCAGCTCATCTTTCACACTGATATACACTTGTGGAGATATACAGGGCAAGATAATGGCTGCGGTAGCTGGCGACCAAGAAGGAGATGTGTTGAAGTGCAGCATTCATGGCGGCCAACTTCTTTCATTGTACTGCAAGACATGCGATCGACTGGCCTGTGGCATGTGCGCCTCGTCACATCTGGAACATAGTCACGTGGTGGCGTCCACGAGGGAAGTGTGCGGAGAGAAGCGACGCTCTCTGGAAGAGCTGTTGGAGAGTGTGTCTTCCATTGCTGGCTTGTCGAATGTTAAACTGCTCGACCTTCGCCTCAGGAACTTGGCCAGTGTCACTAAGCAAGTTGATCAGCAAGCGAAGGAAGCGTCTGAGAAAGTGAAGGAGTATAACTATTTCAAGGAGTTACGATGTATGTTGGATGAAGAAGAGCAACGTCTATACTCAGAGATAGATCAACATCGCTGGAGAACCCAAGAGAACCTTGAGGAGGAACAGCAGCGTATTCACAACAAGCGAAATACGCTAAGCAGCATACAGGCCATTGGTGAGAAACTGACGCAATCTCTGCCCCCGCCATGCAAGGCAATCACGCCGTCAGACATTCAAGTCGTACGGCCGGCTGCATGGCAGTCTAGCTGAAGCGGCTGCTAGTTTGTCACCCAAGGACCATAACATGCCAGTAGCACAGTCGGTCGGCAAGTCGGGTGTTGCAATCGCTGAGAAGAGCACGGATGGTATTCGTGCGACTCTGAAAGCCGATGCACGGGTATTTCACACAGTAGTGGATGTCGTGCAGTCACGGGTCAAGAAATTCGTGAAAAAATCTGGATCTGAAGATTTTAATCTCAAACTCAAGTTCACCCTGTGTGATCATGCTGGTGGTGTCTTGTACTCAAAACAGGTGCCGGAGGATTTTGAAGCCTCGATAACGCTCCCAACAGGAGATCACCAAAGGCTACGCTTGTCACCTGCTGATGCTGAAACGGGTGTGTGGGAGAGTGACGTCTTTCTGACGGAGCCAGGTGGATACCCTGTTCATTTGTCCACTGCTGAAAGGAGCGGCTATCCCTGGGTTTCTATTTCCAGTCGGTGCGTTTTCGAAGAACCTATAACACTGCAATGCTTGACCACGTCTGGAGATGATCATCCGTACGTCCCATTCGCCGAAGTTGCGGGCAATACAGCTGTGGCGGTGTCTAAGTGTGCGTTCACCGGACCAAGCAGGAACTGCTGGAGTGCTGTAGTGAAGTGGCAGACGCAGCACAACATCTTCATGGGCGTGACGTCGTCAATAGCTGGTTCTGCCGATGGTGCCGCGTCAGGAAACTCCGAGTCCAGCAGTGTGACCTATGGTTGGTGGTCAGCCGATACTGTTCGTCATAGTCACGTTGACCAGCGCACGGCAGATCTCAACGAGCTGAAGAGCTGTCACAAGATCGTTATCACCCTGGACTTGCAGCGCAAGAGACTTGAGCTGCTAATCGCTGGTATGAAGAAGTGCGAAGTCCTAGACATGTCTGCTGATTGCGCAACACCAGGGCGTGCGTGGCATCCTGTGTTTTGCCTCAGCAATGAAGGTGAGAGCATATTTGTTATCTGAAGAAATCATTTCTGTACTGTAGGACAATACCAATACCAAGCTTTAAACCATTTCAACCCATCACTATACGTTTTACTAGCCTGCTTCGGGTGTCCACTTGTTCAGTGATGCAGCGAAATTAAAGGTTCATTTGCAAAACGGAGTACATCTTCTTTACTTATATTATAAAGAAGAGGCACCTGTGACGTGTGTCTGTGTGTGTGTGTGTGTGTGTGTGTGTGTGTGTGTGTGTGTGTGTGTGTGTCACGCTCCTTATAAAGAAGAGGCACCTGTGATGTGTGTTTTTGTGTCGCGCTGCCCTGAGCACGCGAAGCGTGCGAAAAGTGTAGCACAGTGTAGCTAGCGGCCGGCGCAGAAGCACTGAGCACGCGAAGCGTGCGAATCGTGTAGCTAGCGGAAGCAGCCACAGAAGCACTGCACTGATCACTGAGCACGCGAAGCGTGCGAATCGTGTAGCCACCACCACGTGCTGAGCACGCGAAGCGTGCGAACAGTGTAGGTGGTAGCAGACACGTACACGATCAGTACGAGTAGCAGTAGCAGCCGCGCGCAGAAGCTCTGAGCACGCGAAGCGTGCGAATCATGTAGCCACCTATACCATGTATACCTAGCCTAGGCCATAGCCTGTTTCTCTTTTTGCAGAGAACGGTTCACGTGGTCCGCAGCGCTTGTGCGGCTGCTAGTGCTACCTATGGCATAGGTAGCACTAGCAGCCGCACAAGCGCTGCGGACCACGTGAACCGTTCTCTGCAAATAGAAACATCTGCAACAAAAGGATACAAAAGATCTGCACTGACATGACTGCACTCTGTCTCTGCATCTGATCTGCAGTGCAAAGTGAAGAGCGCATCGCACTTTTGTTCGTAATTTTATGAATTTTTTGAGCCGCTTCATCCGCCACCAGGTGATGGACAACCCTGACCAGCCTCCCGAAGGCGTAACAGACGTCCCTCCTTCTCCTTCCAACGATGAAGAACCTCCCTCAAGCTCACCAGGACTTCAGCGGTCTGGCCACCACCACGTGCTGAGCACGTGTGCTGTTCATGTACTTGCTTCACCCGCATGCCACATTCGGCCAGGCAACGCTGGCCGGGGGCCTGGGTGCTGCTAGTAGATATCTATTTTCTGGGTGCACGTGCAGCACAAGTTCTGGCCTGTCCCTGCGGGAATTTGCGGAAAAAACTCTCGAAAACTTGCGCAAGAAATTGCGGCAGAAAACAACAAAAAATGCGACGAAAAGCGCGGAATGATGCAGAACTTGCCAGGAATTCGCGGAATTATTTGCAGAAAATTGCGGATTTGGGCCAAATCACGAAATTTGTTGCATCGTATATCAACTTCGGAGTAGTACTAGTCATACTGTGCAAATAACCTACAGGATCATGGAAAGCACTGACTGTGTGAAAAGTGCATGAAACATGTGAGATATAGTGCAGAAAACAACAAAAAACGCGGGAAATCGCGGATTTTGCTGAAAATCGCGGGTTTGGGCCAAAATCGCGAAATTTGTTGCATCCGTGGAATCGCGATTTCCTGGAGGGACAGTCTGGCTTTCCGTAATTTCTATTATAATTCCAGATTTTTTTAGCTTTTCTAAAGCATATGCTGTGTTTGGAGAACGAGACAGCTTGGCAGCTCAGTGCCCTGCGCTATGCTGTTTTTGCCTAGCTCATCATGCATGTTACTAGAACTGATTGGCTACATCATTGTATTGGAAAAGCGTTTCCATTATGTCAGTAGACTCCATAGCTATTATTCGGGACCTTGTGTCCACGTGTCATACACAACGCTATTCCACATTCAGCGCATAATTTTTCTCTTTGTACAGTTTCTGTCCCGTTCTCTTTGTACAAAAGCATAGTGATGTTATAAAAAAAATCTTTTCTCCTTTACGCTTCGCTCACTCTTGCTTTTCCAAAAAAGCATAGCGATGTTTTTTTCATTTCTCCTATTTTTTCAATACATAAGGCCATCATTTTTTATATCTATGTTTCGCGTCAGTTCAACTTCCAGAATCATTATTAAAGGGAAACTGAACGCCAAAAATAAGTATGGCTTATCCGAAGGAGAATTGGGCACTGATTCCGATGAGCTATGTCTCGAGCCGATCAGAGAAGAGGAACTGTGTCAAATTTCATAAATAACACCTCCCATATTTGGAAATTGGCCTTGATGACGTGCGTACTGCTTAGCTGTCACCATGCTGTGCATGTTCAGCAGTGTAATTGAATGGAAGAAAACAATTACTTTGGTGTTTTGCAGCTCTGTTTCGTTCCCTGACGGTAACCAAATCTAGATGTAGGAATCTGTTGAGCAGGAGAGTGACACATGTCTTCCCGAAGGCTGTCCAGGCTGCAGTGGTGATGAAGAAGACCGTGACGATCATCACCCCGAGATCGATCGTAGCGAATTGGAAAACTCATGGTGAATTTGCTTCCACTCCAAGGCAATGTCGAGGTATGAAGGGTGCTTGTACTGCCTTCCAAAGTGAAGAGGAGATGAACATGGCTTTGCATAGCTGTTGTTCTATGCCAACTTACCTACTCTTGCTGGTACCGTAGTGGCATATTGCAAATTTCGTGGACGAACAATAGTCACTAGTGGCTAGTGAGCAACACTAACAGGTGAGATTTTTCAATTCGACAAAAATTGTTTTTGTTTGAGAACTGACAGTGGCAGTCATTAGACCCAGTAGGTGTCTCTCTGCTGCTTCTTTCCCTTCATTGGTAGGGTTGTGCAAGCACATCGAGATTACTTTCAAAGATCATACAGTCTTCTCCCTGCGTAATTTTCCCCTCCTGAATAAACACCTGCTTGCCAGCAACAACTGAAACTACAGCCACGCTTCCAAATAAATGGCCTGGGAACTGCATTACATGTAGCACAAACTTAGATGGCGAGCCGAGAAAGATTTAATGGAAACACAGAACAGTGGGGCACAAGTTATGCGTTAAAGTCAACCGACTAGACCAGATCTTGAACAGTCAGACTTGCACCATTTAGTCCAAAGCCGACGAGGAGTACTGAGACAATCCATGGCATGAAAATGAGCCCCCCCCCCCCTCCCCACCACTACCAGATTTAGTGTGGGAATACAGCAATCAGTGCACTTGCCTGTAAGAGTAATGATGACGGAGACGGTGCTACTTGCATTAGTTACAGCCGTGAAGTAGACTGGCTGACCGGTGCTGCCCAGGTCTTTACCGGAGATGTTTCTCTTGCTAGTCATGCCAAGGCCATTGTCTGTGACGCTGATGTCGAGTCTCACAGGCGTTCCTGTCTGCACGTCAGTATCATACGATGGTAACTTCCATTGTATCTTCAACATGTGGCCTTCAACAGAGAGCAGAATAGCTTCAAGTGGTAGAGAATGGTTGCTCTGCTTGCTGATGGTTGCTGCAAGAATACCATTGGCCGGCGGAAAGACGTCGAAATTGAACTCCGTTCCCGTGAAGATGATGTCGGCTAGAGAAGTAGAGACGGACGTGGCAGTGATGATCTCAGGCGGACGCCGCACCTGTATGTAGCAGATAAACGTGTCGGGAAAGCGGCTCTGGCTGGTTGGAATCAAGCCAAACACATCTGTATCGAGACCGAGCGGTAGCTGCATTGGCCTTCTGGGCTTGATAACAACATACACGAGATTTCCACGTTGCACCAGTGCCGGATAGTAGTCGGGGTTGCTGGTGTTTGGAGCGCTTTCACTTCCGCTGAGTCGTCCAGTGAGGTTGAATGTTGCTATCACTGTGTTCACTCCAATGTTAGAAGTCACCAGCGACTGTGCGTAGTGGGACTTGATGCCTGCACACAACAGTGCAACAACGCACATTCCCCATTAGCTGCTATGAGCATGACAGTGAAACAGAGTACTAACACTGATGTACGGGCATTTCGGATGATGTTATGTGTAAAATGTACACCCCTTTGTTCACAGCCTGGCCACAATCTGAAAGGCAGACTGTGCAGCTGAAACTAGAATGCTGAAAGGAACAGCAGAGAAGTACATGATTGTACTCTCATCTGCATATGTTTCCAAGCATGATCAGGGCTCGCCAGAAGCTCGGGGAATGGAAACGAATCTTCTCGGAACGGTTAATATCATGTATGACGGGCATGGTATATTATTTGTGAGCTTGTCTGCAACAAAGTAATTGCCATTACGGACACAAGTTTTTGGAATGCTTAATTTTTGGGAACTTGTAGAAGGAACTTGAACGTGCATGCTTTCCGGACTGTGCCCTTTCTCCATCTGCTTCGAAGAAGTAATGACCTTGCATGAGGACCGGTGGAGCTATTCAGGAGGGCAACCTGCCAAAGCCATCACCAGCAATCAGCGACATCGCGCCTGACAAAAGTTTTTCAAATAAAATATTTCCACCCAAACGTCACTGCTGGTGCTGAGCTCGCGCGATCGAATGTGAAGTTTTTTTGGTGATCTCAATGAAAAAGGATTTTTTTGAACTCACGCTGTACACAACAACAAGCTATCTGATCTGCATGTCTTTTTCGGTGGAGGTGATTTTTGTTGTTGTTATTGTTGTGGCTGGCGACGAGAAGGCTCTCATTTACGCTAGGTATCTCATAGACAGAATGAGCCTGGTTTTTACGCCAAGCTGATGTTTTCAGCAGCAGTCCGCTGTGGAGAAAATTCAAGCAGTCTTAGGGGCCTGAAGTTTTTGCTGCTTCTTACCGGATCGACAGTGGGAAAGAAGGTACGTTTATTTTATTGTAATAAATCAGGTCGCGAGGTCGACACAATTGAGCTGTTCGTTGCACTGTGAATTTTGTTGCTTTAGGGTGGCAGCGTGCAGTACCTTGTGAAATGGAGAGACTTTATCCTCTATGAGCTTGGGAGTATGAAGATATCAGATATCAGTGACGATCTATCAGGTGATTTCATTTCATTTTGGGTGAATTTATTGAATGTATTCTTCAATGCATGAATTTGAAAATCTCCCTTTTGTTTGCTGTAGATATTTTGATGGTTCGGGGAATGTTGGGCCCTTTCTCAGATGACGAATGTTTGAGGCTGCTGATGGAGCTTGCACTGCTGTGCAGTGAAAAATAGAAGTGAAATAGTCACAAAAGGCACAATGGAGTTTTACGTGTAATAGTGCTCCACATTATTGTGTCGAGCCCTCTCCGCTGGCAGAAGGAAGTTTTCCTCCTTGAAACGAAATAGTCTATTCCTGACTTTCGAATCAGAAACTGGACAAAGGGGGTTGGGACCGAAGAATTTCCCTGTGAAGTTCTTTCCTCCAGGTTGGGATGCTTGCATGAACGTACATGGACAAGGCCCACGGGCTCACTACCTGATTACCTTGACAGGAGGGGATCGTGCTGCCCGGCAGTTTGTCTCTTCCGCAGAAAAGGGCATTGATTAATCATGAGCTTACCGCAGAGCACAACGAAAGCATTGTAGCATGAAACTAATTTGTCTGAATACAAATCTGCACAATGGCACAGACGGCTAATGGAGGTAAAGCATAGCATCACCAGCATTGTATTCCTGGAAGCAGTGCAAGTTATAGATTTAGGTATCAATATTTATCTAAGCTTTAGCGAAGTCCGGACGCAGTACATTACTAGTGTGAAAGATAGAAGAAAAAGCAATGATATCCGTATATACCCGGAAAGAGAGGTGAGAGTGGGTGGGAGTAAGTGAAAGCACTTGTACAAGCTAAACATCTGTGCAACCGGAAAGAGCAGAGAAAAGACTAAAGCAATTACACAGGCCATGCGTTTAGCAGTGAGACCCAAACATCCTTGTAAACCAGAATGCAGCTTCAGCACACATTTTCTATTTCTTCATGTTGCGCTGCTGTTGCCGTTTCCCAACGATATGATGAGGCTCTCCGTTATGCTTCTGCTGGTTTTCCTGTGCAGGTATGTGCTGCCGTAGCTCAGAGAAATCTTTGGCCAGGGTAGCCAAGATGGCATCACCCACATCCTCCTCTCCTTCAGGTTCACTTGTAGGTTTGGCATTCATGCTTGACATCTCCTTCAGTACTGTGTAGGTCCTCTCCTATTGGTTTTTGTCTGCCCATACCATTTGCACTGCTCAGTGATGTCGGCGACAGTCGCCTCCAGCTCACCATTTTCCATTTTTTCTTTACTTTTTGGATACGCTGTGTGTCCTTGAGGTAGCATTTGAGGCCGACCAGTTCTTCTACCTTTGTTTTGCAAACATTCTTGTCTAGTGTTCAGTGATCGAACCCAGTCAACGTTGAAGCACCCTTGTTATTTCTTTCCGTTTCTTTTTATTCTTGTACACCGCTGCCTGCAACCGTGCATTTTAATAGGTTTGCGAGAATCTCTTTTCACCTGCAGCAACCAGAGTTTGAAAGTACCGACACAAACTGGAAGCATGCCCAGTTTCCAGACAACTAGCTGCTTCAAAAATTCTTATGTCAGATGAGTGACTGGTTGCGCAGCCGACATTATGGTGACATAATGTGTCCTTGTAGTTCTGTTTATTATTACTTGTATATTTCACTGTTCGCGTCAAACTCGGCTAAAGGCCGAGTTTTCCGCATCCGTAGGAACGCCACCACCCTTCAAGGATCGTGTGTTTTTTTATAGCAATGTATTTTGGTATTTGCTTTGACCATCAGTCCTTGGCTGATGCTGGTCATACCTTCAACATGTTGACGCGTTTTTCAAGGCATTCAATATACGTAGGCCGCAAGATTCTATCTTTTCATACCGAATACCGATGGCTATTGTAGTGCTTCCCCACTAGCTGCGCAAGTGTCACATCTGGCTGCGGCCAACTACCCTTTAATTTGTGTGTTGCCGCTATTGCTGTCTATGTCTCTGTGTGTGCCAGTATATGAGGAACGAGAATTGGTGTTGTTGTTGTTGTAGTCGTTGTTGTTGTTGTTCTGGTTGTCATGGGCTGTGGCTGTTGAATGTAGGCTGTTGCTTTTGTTGTTGTACTTTTAGTTGAAGCTGCATCACAAATAGGTAACCACCTTGATGATGGTGCACAATATCCGTTGAAGAAGCCGCAAAAAAACACTGTATTCTCAAACCAGTGAGATGCAGAATGAAACCAAGTATCAAGCTGGCAAAGCTGTCAGCCACTCCAAACGAAATTTACACCAAACAAGTTGCTATTTGTCAACAGGCAGTCATAAAATTCGACTCCCTGACTCAGTCACTCTAGACTACGACTCATACGAGTCGTACAGAGTACTGACTGTAGTCACTGAGTAGTCTACGTCCTTATACATGACTAGCAGCACCCCCGCCAGCGTTGCCTGGCCGAATGTGGCATGCGGGTGAAGCAAGTACATGAACAGCACACGTGCTCAGCACGTGGTGGTGGCCAGACCGCTGAAGTCCTGGTGAGGGAGGTTCTTCATCGTTGGAAGGAGAAGGAGGGACGTCTGTTACGCCTTCGGGAGGCTGGTCAGGGTTGTCCATCACCTGGTGGCGGATGAAGCGGCTCAAAAAATTCATAAACTTACGAACAAAAGTGCGATGCGCTCTTCACTGCAGATCAGATGCAGAGTGCAGTCAGTGCAGATCTTTTGTATCCTTTTGTTGCAGATGAGATGTTTCTATTTGCAGAGAACGGTTCACGTGGTCCGCAGTGCGTTTGCGGCTGCTAGTGCTACCTATGCCTATGGCCTAGGCTAGGTGGCTACATGATTCGCACGCTTCGCGTGCTCAGTGCTTCTGCACGCGGCTGCTACTGCTACTCGTAGAGATCTATATCTACTGATCGTGTCTGCTAGAAGTATAAGCGCTACCACCGTACCTACACTGTTCGCACGCTTCGCGTGCTCAGCACGTGGTGGTGGCTACACGATTCGAACGCTTCGCGTGCTCAGTGCTTCTAATTCTGTGGCTGCTTCCGCTAGCTACACGATTCGCACGCTTCGCGTGCTCAGTGCTTCTGCGGCCGCTAGCTACACTGTGCTACACTGAGTCTGTTCGCACGCTTCGCGTGCTCAGGGCAGCGCTGCTCCGCAGCGCTTCAGCGTGACACAAAAACACACGTCACAGCCTCACAGGTGCCTCTTCTTTATAAGGAGCGTGACACACACACAGACACACGTCACAGGTGCCTCTCTTTTATAAGTAAAGATATGACAGCATGCATCAGATCATGTCAGTACATCGACATGGCATGCATCCAGCACATGGCCATGGGAAAGCCCCTACAACATGGCCTTCAGAGAAAGCCACGCGGTTGGAGAGGTAGTTTACTCGAAAAAAACTGAGAAAGAAGTGCTTTTCATCTTCTTGCTGTTCAATGTCAAGCCAGAAACAATTGAGAAGCTGCTTGAAATGTGCAGAATGAGGCGATTTCCCAGATCTTTGAAGCTAGAAAGCGCACTGGACCTGCAATCTTTTGGAACTGGTCCTTCTTGGGGACAGAGATCAGACTAGCCAGGTGACAATGCTGTGGTTTGTTGGCTGACAATATTTGGAGGAAGCTTCAGAAATGACCATGAAGAAGGTCAATTCTTGCTATTTCCTCAAGATCACCAAGGTAACAGATACTTTTCAGTGGAGAAGAAAATCATGATTCTTAGGAGTTGAGATCGCATCGGTTGTTCAATGTTTTTCACTTTCGTTTTTTTCGTTGTGTAACTGTTTGTCTTGTTGGCGTGGTTCACTGGTTTGATGCCTTACATTTCGATCATGGCCATAGTTCAGAGCAATTTTCTTCCTTCCAAGATCACTCTCTGCAGTAAATGCGCAAATATTTTACGGAATTTCGGACTCTGTGGGATGTCATATAATTGCTGGTAATGGTGTCTGCTTTGGTTTTTAATAGTCTTGAGTCTCTTGTCTTGGGTCAATTAAGTTGTTCAGAAAGTTCTGCCATCTGAAGGTTCCTATTGGTACAGTTGGGTTTCCAAGTAAAAATACATGTGCCAGTAATGGTGGCATATCCCCTGATGCCACCTTTAAAAGTTGCTGTATTTGCTGCTGGATTATTCCGGGTGGTGGTGGTGGCCGTCGTGAGGTACTTTGGGAATGGAAAACTTTTTAAAAAAATTACACTGCTCCGTGCCACTCTAGCCATGTACCTTCACACTGACGGATAACACAGAGAATCTAACGTTAGACATTGCGCAACTAATGCTACTCACCACTGCAAAGGGTAGGCCCCATCACAGTCAGCATGGCTAGTGTGATTGCGATGTTCAGCGCACACCATGTTATGCATCGTTCACGAGCCACTCCAGGTCTTAATCCGATTCGTCTTGAAGGTGATTGGCTCCTTTTTGGTGTCATCATCAACTGCTGGCACTAGGTCTGCGCGGATGTTGCTAGAAAATTGGCAGAATCTGCTAGAAAAGCAGAGAAATCGGCGGGATCATACAAAGCTTACGGTGGGGAATTCCACGAAATTCTGCTATTATGATCTATTCAAGTATTTTTTGTTTGTGTGTGTGTATGTGTGTGTGTGCGTGTGTGTGTGGTGTGTGTATGTGCGTGTGTGTGTGTGTGTATGTGTGTATACTTGTGTGTGTGTGTGTGTGTGTGTGTCTGCATGTGTGTGTATGTGCGTGTGTGTGCGTGCGCGCATGTGTGTGTGGTGTGTGTGTATGTGTATGTGTGTGTGTGTGTGTCTGTGTGTACATACACTGCGCTTGGAGGCACAGACTACGGAGTGCATTGTATACCTCAGAAGACTGAAAGCTCTCCAGTGCGAATTCAGTGGGGAGGGGGGCCGGGGGGCATGGAACCTGCTAAATTTTCAATGTACTCCTGAAAAATCGAATCTTCATGCTTGCACAAAAGCCTGTGGACTAAAGTACAGTTCTTTTCAAACCCTTTATGTCCTTTATGTAATAGTTATCAGACATCTTCTTATGTATGCACGGGCTATTCATCGTCTATCAGGCACTTCTAAGTTCTGGCATGAAAGACACATTCTTGAATGTGCAAGTTATGTATTTCGGAATCTGTTCGTATCAATGTGTCCAGGAAAGAACATATTTTCAATTATTTTGGTCCAGCAAGCAACTATATACCGGTAGAGGCCATATCCGCCCATTGTTGCGTCACTGATTTGCCACAGAGCATTGGCCTTCTTGACACAAAGCGACAGGAGAGCACTATACTACTAGTAGTTAACAGGAACCAGTAGCATGCATGAACAATAGCGAAATAGACGGAAATAGCCATCGAGTGCGTAAATACTAAATACCAGACAGCATACATCAAAATTTCAAAACACATGATTGATGTACTTCAGTACAGTAATTGTGTCAGATGTGAATAGTATGCACTTTTCGCCGTTACACTCACGTGCATGCGAGAGTATTGGTGATTGAAAAGACCAGAAATAGTCGCTGGGTGAGGAACTTCACCAGCCTTGATGATTTCAGGCCATCGCTGCGCTCCCTCTCGCTGCTGCTTGGAGAGCGAATACCGCAATGGATCCAGCTTTGGAAATTCTCAGATCCTGAAGAGATACTTCGAGTAGTTGCTGCAAATCCTCATAATTATTATGCATAGTCATGCGCCTAGCACCACTACAATGAGTAGACATCGACATCAGCAAAATGCAAGAGTAGGCTTTATCCCAGCGTAGAGACGTCAAGACTAACGTCAAGACTATCGCAGAGGGCTGGCAAGGCGCACCTCTCGCCGCAATCGTTAGATCGTTCTCCATACTTTCCTACCCAACAAGTCAACATTTTCAGCGGGATCTCACACTGCACATGTGCCGCGCGCCGGCATGGCAGCTGTCTTCAGTTTTTAGAAAAACAAAAAAATGTCCAAAAGATTAGTTTTCCGACGGACCACGTGCACATACCGATCCCGATCGAGTCTGTTTTTGACTTTTGAGGGGTTGCCGACCCTCAGACAAGCTCATTTTGCTAGTACAGTAGATCTACTAGTACACTATGCATGGTAGGTCGACCAGAAAAAGTACCAGAATCTGCCAGTTTTCTGGCACCAATTTTATCAGTCAAGATTTGGCACTCAGGTTACGAGGGGACGGTCAGAAAATTTCCGGCCGGACCCACAAACTCGAATAACAGTAGCTAGCATGCATCGCCGTTTTCTTCCTTTTATTTGTCACCCCTCTCATTCTCCCTGAGCGATGCTCCAGTTTCATCAATCCGCGAATGTAAACGTAGAAGGTTTCATCTTGCTTGTCCAAAACGTCGTCGACATCTGCTATGACTTCATCCGCGAAAATGTCGCCCTCATGGTGATTCTGTCATGGAAGGGAAGAGAAAGAAAAGAAGTCTGCAGAGGCCCAATCAGGAAAGTAGAGCGGATGGGGAAGGAGTTGGCACTTGGAAGCCACATGTTCTCGCTACAGCCACAGCAATATGGGACGTGTGGGCTGGTGCATCATCGTCTTGGAAATGCAGAATGTCCTTCGACAGCTTCCCATGGCGTCTGACGGTCAGTTCCGATGATCCCGGAGTCCGGAGCTCCTTGGCTTTTTAGCATGATATTGTCCATTGCGGATCGTCCTGCCTGTCTTCAAGACATCCAGCATGACAACACCGAGGCAAGTCAGCATGACCTTCCCGGCAACTTGATGCTCGAGCTTTGAACTTTTTGGAGTGGGTGAGCTCGCAATTTCCCTGCATGCTTTCAACGGGTTTGATTTAAATAATCCAATCGGTGGACCCATATTTCGTCCTGAGACACTAGTTGCCCAAGAAAACTACCTGGAGACGCCTGAAACTGCTGCAGGAGCTCTGCGCGGCAATCCACACGCCAGCGCTTCTGCTCTGCTGTGAGCATTCTCGGAAACCAACGGCAAGATACTTTGTTCAAGCCAAGCTTCTCCGTAATGCTGGCTACTGATCCAAAGGCGGTCTTACGTTTTTGTACGGTCCTTCATGATCATTATTTTGAAAACACTTTGTCGGATATTTCTTCGTCTGTTTCTCGTCAAGGTCTCCCTGACCGTTCAGTATCATTTGTGCCGACTCTCACTCTCCTGCAGTCACAACACCACTGCTTTACAGCTGAATGTGATGGGGTATTAATTTAAAACTGCCAGCGTCTCTACCATACCTGCACGGAGGTTTTTGGGCTTAGCGTCTTCAAGAACAGGTGCTTGACGACTGCTGTGATCACCTTATTGTGCGTCTCCATTTCTGCAGAAACTAGAATTGGACACAGAGACAGAGTCCAATTTACTTTTTGGTCTCTTTCTAATCCCCCCCCCCCCCCCCCCCCACACACACCCACACACACACACACACACATTATAATTATATCACACCACATACATTGTACACCGGCATGCGCTGGCTGTTGGTATCCACCACCCAGGAGAATGAAATAGAGTCAGGAGGAGTCTGAGAAAGAGAAGAAAGACGTGTGTCGGTGTGTGATAGGCTCCGGCGGATCACGCTTGCGAAATCATGGAATTATGCCTTCATGGATGCTCGCATTATGGTCGCAAAATCCTCACATTATGATACTTAGTCACTTTCTTGACCTTATGGAGCCTCAAAGCTCGGAATATTGTGCTTTTTTCGTGCTTGCAAGTGGCCTTATGGCCACTTGCAAGTACGAAAAAAGTAGGCCCCGGCCCCGTGTAATATGCCGGCATTTTTTTGAGCATTTTCGGTACAATCCGCGAACCCAGCACTTTGGGCTCGTGATGCAGCATTTTGGGGGAAACGGAGCACTTGGCCGTTGTGTATCAAAATTGAGAGAAGAAAAACTTCCCAAACAAGAACGTCACTTCCGCATTCCGTGGGTTAGCTTCTTGTTGAGTAGTTCATGAATTGAAAATAATGGTTTTGACCAGGGAGTCGTAAAATACCGGTATTTTCTGACTCCCTGGTTTTCAGTCTTTTGACGGCGTGTGCTGAGGATTACAAAAAAGTGAGCATTTTCCGAGCATTTTCGGCAAGGTTTACGAGAATTTCCCAAAAGCATTTTCGGCAAAGTTTCGGGCATATTACACCGGGCCCTAGCCATAAGTACATGTACAACAAAGTACATGAGTATCCCCATACCAAGGTGTCCAATGTCCATGCATTATTATTATTACAAGCATTATTATTCTCGTATCCGTCCCGAATAGGACTCACGACCGCAGAATTGACTGCGAGCATAATTACGTGTGTGAGAGAGTGGGAAAGCAAAATGAAAATGAGAACCTAGAAATAAAGGTCAAATATATAATTTAAGAATAGCTGTACTAGACTAAAATGGTTGAGCAGATGTTACTCCATTGTTTTCTGTCACGGGCATAACTGCAGAGGTCACGAAGGCAGCCGGGCAGATACTGATAGGTATAAGGCGGACGTCTCGCTGGAGACTTGTATTTTTTTGCAAGTTGTAGTGAGGCAAGGGCGGGGGGGGGGGAGTGGGTGCACCTATTCGAAAGGGCTGACTGGTAGCATCAAGTCATGTATATGCACAGAAAGCAGTGAGAGCAACATTTGCAGGGATATCACTTCACAGGCTTAATACATGTCCATGCATGCAGAGATCAACATACTTTGAAGTAGAAAGGAGAAACATTACTTCTTCTATTCATTAGTTGACTTCTTTTGTAAAAATGTTCTCATTCCCTTATTTGAAACTCGGATGTTGAGCCATAAAATTAAATGTAGAAGAGAAAAGGACATATGGATACGAGTTAAGAGTAACTCTCCATCACTGTAACATGATACTATATACAGTAAGAAAGTGCAATAACTAGGCACAAAACTGACAGAGTACTGAGTATTCCCTTATTTGTTTGAGTTACCTTTGAAAATCATCATGTTCAACTGTCTTCGTAGTCGCCATACTCGCCCAACATGTCAACCTCAGTTACCTCACCCTGCTGATATCAGAAATCATGAGTCATTCAACAATCACCTGATCCCACACATGGTCAAACAAGGGTGCCCGCACACACGCACAAAGCCACCTCCATTGGTATGGTCGAGTCCGTTTTGGAAAAGCGCAAAGCAGGCAAAGTGATGAGAATGAATTCCATGCCATGAAAACGACAAACAAAATGAAAGAATTGTGCGTATGCATGGGAGGGAGAAGTGGGAGAGACTATTCGAGGCATAAATAGGCCCGAAGAAACCGATACAATTTACATAAAACAGAAGAAGCACATGACAGCAACAAATGGTCTTCTTCGTTACGGTAGCGAAGAAAAGATCCCGTAGCTATGAAAAAGGCAAACAGAACGAATGAATTGTCCCCACGTGGGAAGAAGAGGAAAACAGAGAGATAATTTGATAGAGTTAAAATTAAAAACGACAAACTAAACGAAAGAGCGTCAGGATGTGAGAAGGAGAGAGAGAGAGAGTTGGATAGATAGATAGAGTCCATTATGGGCATAGATAGGCCTGTAGAAAATCCGATACACTATACATTACAAAAAGCTGCATGGCAACACAAGACCGTTGACTTCGCTGGGGAAGCAAAAAAACCATTAAAAAAATCAACTCATATCAAATATCAGGAGAATTGAAAAAAATGGTGATGAAACTTTGTCCTAGTATACAGTGATCAGCAGGAGTGGCATACAACCGATGACAGTAAGAAGGGGATTTCCCCGTGGCATACTATACAGTACGAGTGTAATGACTTGCAGTTAGCCAAGCGTGGAGTAACCGGTTCTCTGTCTTGCACTCTCACTGCTTATTGCGTCGGGGGCCGGTGTGGTGTTCACCGACGTGTATCCCGTTGACGTCGACGCTGTCTCACCGCTGATCAGGGGTGGCTGGAAGCCGCGCCTCTGAAGCCGCTGGTTCTTGCGGCAAGTCACGACCAGGGCAATGAGCAGGACGCAGGCAAATACGCTGGCAACGGAAACGCCCGCCACCATTTGCGTGTCAGTGTGATGCGATGGGGTCTGCAGGCTCGAGCTAGACAAATATGGAGAGTGCAAATAATACAGTGTCACATTGAGTCTAACGATGGGCCGGAGACATAATTATACTCCTATTAAATGCAAGAAGTCCACGCAGCCTTAGCAATACTTGAAGTATGATGCACCATGCAGTGCTGCACGAGAAAGATAAATGGCCAGGATTCAAATCCAGCACTACCGGGGGATCTCAACCGCTTACCGCATAAAGCTATCAACCCCTGGCTGTTTGCATGCAGTCTACAAAGTCTTTGTAATTAATTATTTGACGCACCAGGAAGTGTTGCACAAGAAAATGAATAGCCAGGATTCAAATCCAGCACTACTGGGGGGGGGGGGGGGGAGGGGGTCCCGAAAGCACACCGTACACTGTGAACCGCCAGCGTACACGATGGCAAATTTTCGCGGAACACCGTGGTCTGTCACATACACCCACTGTTGGAGTTTGATTTCACGATGGTCAATATTTGCGTTCGACTCTTCTTGCACCATTATGTAGTTTACAGTACAGCTACTCCAGCCCTGGCTGTTTGCTACTCCAGCCCTGGCTGTTTGCTACTCCAGCCCTGGCTGTTTGCTACTCCACCCCTGGCTGTTTGCTACTCCAGCCCTGGCTGTTTGCTACTCCACCCCTGGCTGTTTGCTACTCCACCCCTGGCTGTTTGCTACTCCAGCCCTGGCTGTTTGCTACTCCACCCCTGGCTGTTTGCTACTCCACCCCTGGCTGTTTGCTACTCCAGCCCTGGCTGTTTGCTACTCCACCCCTGGCTGTTTGCTACTCCACCCCTGGCTGTTTGCTACTCCAGCCCTGGCTGTTTGCTACTCCACCCCTGGCTGTTTGCTACTCCACCCCTGGCTGTTTGCTACTCCACCCCTGGCTGTTTGCTACTCCACCCCTGGCTGTTTGCTACTCCAGCCCTGGCTGTTTGCTACTCCACCCCTGGCTGTTTGCTACTCCACCCCTGGCTGTTTGCTACTCCACCCCTGGCTGTTTGCTACTCCACCCCTGGCTGTTTGCTACTCCACCCCTGGCTGTTTGCTACTCCACCCCTGGCTGTTTGCTACTCCAGCCCTGGCTGTTTGCTACTCCACCCCTGGCTGTTTGCTACTCCACCCCTGGCTGTTTGCTACTCCAGCCCTGGCTGTTTGCTACTCCACCCCTGGCTGTTTGCTACTCCACCCCTGGCTGTTTGCTACTCCACCCCTGGCTGTTTGCTACTCCACCCCTGGCTGTTTGCTACTCCACCCCTGGCTGTTTGCTACTCCAGCCCTGGCTGTTTGCTACTCCACCCCTGGCTGTTTGCTACTCCACCCCTGGCTGTTTGCTACTCCACCCCTGGCTGTTTGCTACTCCACCCCTGGCTGTTTGCTACTCCACCCCTGGCTGTTTGCTACTCCACCCCTGGCTGTTTGCTACTCCAGCCCTGGCTGTTTGCTACTCCACCCCTGGCTGTTTGCTACTCCACCCCTGGCTGTTTGCTACTCCAGCCCTGGCTGTTTGCTACTCCACCCCTGGCTGTTTGCTACTCCACCCCTGGCTGTTTGCTACTCCACCCCTGGCTGTTTGCTACTCCACCCCTGGCTGTTTGCTACTCCACCCCTGGCTGTTTGCTACCCCACCCCTGGCTGTTTGCTACTCCAGCCCTGGCTGTTTGCTACTAGCATACACACATACCTTGGTTGTTGGATGGCCTCTAGCTCAAGTCCACGGAAATTCTACACACACACATACACACACACACACACACACACACACACACACACACACACACACACACACAGACACACACACACACACACACACACACACATAAATACACACACATAAATACACACACTTGTACTTTGTACTTGCTCACCCCCAAAACTGGTCACGTGAGTCTCCCCGGGAGAGGGGAGAGAGACTCAAAAGGAATCTTGGATACACACACACACACACACACATACACACACACACACACACACATCAATACACACACACACACCACACACATAAATACACATAGAAGACACACATTGCACACGTTAGACATATTTTGCCTGAGGATGGCAGCGAATGAAATGCAAATTGCAAACAAAACATCTCCCTCTTTTCGTTGTAGAGGATACACATGAATTACATTCGACGGTCACCATCATGATGGGGTAAACAAATAACGTTCACTCCATTCATCCAAACATGTCCTGGGATCTTGTCACTACCCTCGAGCTATCTGAGTTAGGCAGCCACATAGCAAGACAAAGAAGACTGGATACATCATAGCCTAGGAGCTGTGGCATCATGTATGATCCACAGCAAGAAGGCAGCAGCAATGCCTGTACCTATGGTGAAGTAAAATAAAGGTAATAATTATAACATACCTATGACTACCGGTACATCGATTCGAGTATCCCGTTAAAGTTTTGTTTTCTTCACACATGGCTAATCTAGATAATATTTTTTTATAGTGTTCAGTGCCAGTACTATTCAACAGTTGAGTAGGAATTGAACCACAACTCACCCTTTTCCAAGAGCCAGCTGTGCCATTCCTCGACCATGTTTTACCACTCGGGCCGGTGATGAAGTTCAGTTCTACAGTGTTATTCTGTGGCATTGGGTATGCCTTGCCGTATGGTGGCCGCTTGAGCAGGAGTCGCGATGGCCTATCGAAAGCGTGCGATTTGACACAATACTCCACTGCACATGACTCGTCAATGCTTGCCAAATGCTGGGCATAGCCGTGCGGGCAGTGGTGCGGCCAGCTCTCCTCTCCTATCAGAAGACCATAGCCAACCTGCATTGCACGACAGTGGGACACACACACATACATACGCGCAGACATGTCAGTGTAAGCAATGCGTACAAATTTACAAGGTGAACATGTCTACAGAGGAATAATAATGAATCTTGATGACTACAATCAAACGTTGGCAGACACATGCATGTAAATAGTTGCATGGCTGTACATGCAGGGATGAATTTATCCTGTATCGCATCGCAGTTTGCTATGCAAAATCGATCAACTGCTACTCAAAAGTCGCCGTGACTCGCAGAAAACTGCGATACAATCAGACCATCCATGCCTAGCCTGCGCTGTCAAGTAACATGCATACAGTGCAGTAGATGTGATGCAGGCACTCTCAATCTGCGTGCACATGTATGATTCAGTCGTTTTTTTGCAAATGGGCTTTCAGGCATCACTCTCAAGAAGGACAATGTGGTAAACACCCAACCTTGAAAGAAAAATGCTAATCAAAATCAAAGACTGCTACACAACTGTGATTTTGTATGGCAGAAACTGCTATGCAAAAATATGACAATAAATTCATCCCTGACATGCTTCTGCTGATGGAGTGAGAGAGTGAGAGAGAGAGAGAGAGAGAGAGAGAGAGAGAGAGAGAGAGAGAGAAGAGAGAGAGAGAGAGAGAGAGAGAGAGAGAGAGAGAGAGAGAGAGAGAGAGAGAGAGAGAGAAAGAGAGTGAGAGAGAGAGAGAGAGACAGAGAGAGAGACAGAGAGAGAGAGAGCGAGAGAGAGAGAGAGAGAGAGAGAGAGAGAGAGAGAGAGAGAGAGAGAGAGAGAGAGAGAGCGAGAGAGAGAGAGCGAGAGAGAGAGAGAGAGAGAGCGAGAGAGAGAGAGAGAGAGAGAGAGAGAGAGCGAGAGAGAGAGAGAGAGAGAGAGCGAGAGAGAGAGAGAGAGAGAGAGAGAGAGAGAGAGAGAGAGAGAGAGAGAGAGAGACGGATGCACACATGAGGGATAAACTGACAGACCAATTTGACAGAGACTGAAGATATGTAGAGAGTCAAATTATAATAACTTGCAAGCTCTACTTACTGCACTAATCCCTGCCTTTTCAGCAGCTGGTGTGCTGATCAGGGACAGTGGGTTGCCAATATGACAACTGAAGAACCCTGCACAAAGAAAACAAAAGATGAAGTCTTTGTCACTGGCTGAACTAAGGCAAATTGCTAAGAAAAAGAATTCGTTCTAAAAATCTCAGTGTCGAGAGTTTCCTCCGCAGAGTCACACGGCTTCAGGCACTAGTCGTGCTACTATACGACAGGTGCATGGATGGATCCATGAAAGCAGACGATGAAAACCAGACACCGTATCCCAACTAGACGCCATGACATTGAGAAGCAAACATATACCCCATTCCGTCGGAAGGTTGCGCCGTAGAGAGCTCTCACCTGCGAATGGAACAGAGGAGGCGATACCCTGCTCGTAGTTGTCACTGACGCACACCTTCATGCTACTGCCCATAGACAGCGGGTAGAAGAACTTGGGACAGCTGTGTGTGCCCGGTCACAAGGTTGGTGGAGCTGGCGCTGTAAATGCCGCCGAAAAGGTATCCAGACTTGGGCTCCACAGGGCCCAGCTTCACGCACCAGTACGTCTCGTAGTTAGCTACCGCTCCAAGGTATTGCGTGCTGCACACCTGCACACAGAATTATACAGTCGGAAAGAATTTTGCAATAGCCATCAGACAAAAGCGGGAATTCACAGAAGCATGCGACGGCCGCGAAACCGGGAAATCCCCTAACCACACCCACTGCGTAGCTCATGCAACCGTGCAACTGGCCCATTGCAGATGCGACAAGCGGCGTGCGACTTTGGCCTTTTCTGCAGCAAAGTTGTACAAAGGTTGTTGTACCTAGCCACGCGAATACTATGGTGACATACTCACCTGCATTGAGCTTTGCGCAAAATCAGCAAAGCAACGTCAATATTTCTGACTTCTTCTGAGAATTATATTTCGCGAGTTCGCATCGTACACCGTCGTCGCGGATCGCGGCGCGAAAAGGCATATGTGAATCCTGATTAACTGTTAAATTTCTTCCATAATCACGGTATATTCTTTGGAACATTCATTCAAACTGCTTACTCGGTTAGAACAGTCCAGGTAAACATAAATAAAGGCAATGTAGCAATGGTCCTCATGTATTCTGCCACTTTCCAAAGGAGGTGCTTTCGGGACATACTGCCAAGACATCTGATTGAACTCGCCCGTCCTGTGTATTGCCTATCGCCCTAAAAACCATGTCCACTGGTCCTCCAACAACCTAGAACTCACCTGCCTGCCGCACTTCTGCAGCCAAAGAAACCCGCAGTGATGGTATTCGGTGTGGCACTCATGGTCGTTCCAGTTGAATGTCTCAGAGCCGGTGTTCAGTTTCACGGCATCATATCCACTCGGGCAACCATATGTTCCTGAGCACCGATCAGAAGGATTAAAGGAAGCTGGTTGATTCGGGTCTAGTCCACGACCACTACATCTCCATACACATCATCGTATGTTTGCATCTGTTGACCCTCATGGGAGTGCACACAAAGATGTATTTTCTAAATGACACAAGTGTGTCCAGGCATGCAGTATACTATGCACACCATAATCTACAGCGATGGCACTGCCGTTTCACATGACAGAATGCCCTCACTGCATCCTCTCACCTGAGAGCGGATTCTTCTGTCTGAGCCCTGCACAAATATCTCTGCCATAGTCTTGCGGAGATGAGCAGTTCTGGAAGACGCCACCAAACGTGTAGTTATTGGGTGCAAGACTGCACAATGAGGTATCACCAGAATTGGCCTGAAGAAGAAGAAGAACAGGGGATAACGTTGGTGACGGGGCCAGCAGTAAATAATTTCCAACAAAACTCAATATCCAGTATAGGTACAATGTGAAAATTCGGTAAAATGGGACCTGGGAAGGGATATAGGAATCTGTGCTTTTTAGCCGAAGTACTCTACATCCGGGATGAAATGATTGCTACAGTATATAAAAATGCAGTGCTCTCAAAAATAAGTACTTTTAGGGTGAGTTCTCAAATCCTCTCGGAAAAGTTCGAGAGCTGTTCTTATATCCTCTCCGAATTTTAGGAGGCTCTCCAAAGCTCTCCAAGCTTCAGAGGTGCTTGAAACTTGGAGATTCCCGCGGTTTGGGATCAGCGCATGCGAAAAAATAAATAATAATAATTCGACGGGTTCACGTACCGGGCAGGTCAAGATCAAGGAGTCGTACAACTCCCTGGTCAAGAACCACCTTTCCGCTTGCGTGGGACACCACCACCCCATGATCAGGCGTCTGGTGATCAGCGCATGCGAACTACGGCTAAAAGCATGTGTGTTGATCGTGAGTGTACGCGTTTCCCCTTTTTGCATACGCACAATGCGTACTACATTGGTGGCACTCAAGATCGCGGCCCCTTTGGCGCTTCATATTGCTTCACATGTCCAAAAAATCTCCGAATTCTTGGAGACCCATTTTTGCATTATACCAGTTTCTTCGACTTCCGTTTTCTTCTTCTCCGAGAAGATAGAGAATTAAGAACGCACCCTAAATCCCGTGGTACGCTATATCAAGGATACTTCATACTACAGTGTTCCACTGTAAGCAGAATGATTTGTGTAAGAACTCAGATGGTGAGCCAAGGAAAAAATTGGAACATGGGAAATAATCTGATTTAGTTGGTGGACTCGATCGCATAACTTGTGGCCATACTTTTTTTTTTCCATGTTACGATTCGTGTTAGCTTCAACAATGACTAGTTTACCTTGTAATCGAAGCTCGGCGACGTAAGATCGGTGCAGCCTTGATGCGTGTTGTATTTCAGGTACTTCTTGGATGCAACACTGACCTTGTTTGCAACCTGCAGGATGCGGACATGGCAAAATGGAAGGTATCGACCGAACTTAAAACGTCAAAGACAGCTTGCTACCATATTCAAATAGGGTTTTCAATGGCAGGATCATAATGTGAATAGGGTTTTGAATGGCAGGATCATAATGTGAATAGGGTTTTCAATGGCAGGATCATAATGTGAATAGGGTTTTCAATGGCAGGATCACAGGATCATAATGTGAATAGGGTTTTCAATGGCAGGATCATAATGTGAATAGGGTTTTCAATGGCAGGATCATAATGTGAATAGGGTTTTCAATGTCAGGATAATAATGTGAATAGGGTTTTCAATGGCAGGATCATAATGTGAATAGGGTTTTCAATGGCAGGATCATAATGTGAATAGGGTTTTCAATGGCAGGATCATAATGTGAATAGGGTTTTCAATGGCAGGATCATATTGTGAAGCAACTTGGAAGAATACATAATACTGTACTGTGTGTACATATTGAAGTGTATCGAGGGAAGCATACAGGGAAATACTATGGGTTTGAATCCCACGTTGCTGATTATAGTAAATGGTTGGTTTTTGTGTATTTATGATTCAACGATCATATACTGTTACAGGAATATGACTTAGATTGTAGTATTTTAATGATTGCGATTCAATTTTATTTTTCGTACCTACCTACAATCCTGTACAGTAATCATACTTATTTTGTAACAAATGATATAAAAACCGTCATTTACCGAAGATTGTTACACGTTCTCTTTCAATGAGACACACAATGTCCCCATCCGCAAAGTTCACCTGTTTCTGTGGATGTCGTTATACTGATTGCACAGTATGATTCTATGCAAAGTGTGCCCATGTGTCACAGCACGCTTAGAAAAATCGGCTTTCATTCGAGTCAGGCTTCTAAGCGTGACATTACGGTAGGGTTGGAATGACCCATTTCTCAGCCATTAGCTGAAGAAGTCAGCCTACACTCCTAGGATTTTATTGTTGCACCTTCCCACACCACCTTACACCTCCCCAGACCACCTTACACCTCCCCAGACCACCTTACACCTCCCCAGACCACCTTACACCTCCCCAGACCACCTTACACCTCCCCAGACCACCTTACACCTCCCCAGACCACCTTACACCTCCCCAGACCACCTTACACCTCCCCAGACCACCTTACACCTCCCCAGACCACCTTACACCTCCCCAGACCACCTTACACCTCCCCAGACCACCTTACACCTCCCCAGACCAATTGCCCTAACAGTTGCAAGCACAGTGCAGTAGACACTCACGCACCTGTCGAACAGTTGGTTCGGGCATCTGTGGCAGCGCATACTTCGTTATCATGAACTCGATGGATCACCTTGTCTGTCCGTTGCGACAAGTGCGTTGTCCAAGCCCTGCTCCCATGTGTTGACCAAGAGACCTGGCATGTACGCTGGACCACCGTAGGTGCTGGAGTAAGGGCACAGACAGACAAACACACAATATATCAAGTATTCACCATATGTTATCAGTCTCTGACCATCTACGTCAGGCGAAATAGCACGTCATCGTACATTTTAGACCAGCGAGAAGAAGATGACGACGTCCACTAATTTAGTACCTGTGCACACGAATGTGCTGCGTGTGACTTTGTGTGTCAGCCATGACATCAAACCCTGTGGTTCCATGCCTACCGTGTAGGTCAGAACCATCCTGCGAAGTTTGAATGACGTAGGTAGAACGATCGCGCCGCCAACCATACCTTTTGAAATTCTGCTCGTAGTATACCTTCCACCATTGAAATTTCGAATTTCGAGCTGAGAGGGGTAGCTTGCAACCTCGATATGGCTTGTTCCAGGCATGCTGTGAAGCGAAACCCTGTTGAAGTAGTGGCGGGGATCTGCCCTGCAACTGCTACAACAAAAATGATTCGATCTGAGAAAGCGTGAGACCGCGAATCTCCGTTGAATATTGAGTATTTCAAGCCTTTTCACGACGAAGATGGAGTTCTTTTTGGAGATGGACGTCGCGGCAAAGGACATGGTTTCCGACTTCTGGCGTCTGGTGAAGCCAGGGATCATTTGTCCAGTCAGGTCGGCAGCCTAACCGTCGGTAAGCTTATGTTTGGATCGCGTTCTGCTCAATGTGGTGGATCACAATTTTGATATCGCACAAATTGAACTCTGCATCGTGCGTACGGTATTTTATATTCAGAAAATCGCAAAGTGTCTCGGACTCTCTGTGTGGCCGTCCTATTCCACGAGAAACTCCAATCAGGCTCCTATGTCCTCTGCCTTCTTGATTGAATGTCCACTTTGTTTGAACAACGAACACAACAATCGAGGACGGCTTTGCAATGAAACATACAGCTATACTGGAATTGAAAAAGAAGAAGAAACGTGCTCAGGATGAGACTCGAGTACACGCGTACTCTTCCAGCAGGTTTTGTGGATGTCGCTCATAGATGCGTAATTTCGCGCGACGAATGTCAACTAGCCATACACATGGACTGGTCTGGAGGTAACCCAAAAGCGTATGCACGTGATCATCTGGGACCAAAATCGATGTTCCCGCCAGGTTTCACTGTGAAAAAGTGAAACTGCTCGGTCTGCTCCGGCCTCGAGGCCGGAGCAAGCAGAACATGTTCTGGCC